AATATAGAAATTGTAAATTTAATTGAAATGACTAAACACTGTTTAAATTTGTGAACCGGCCAAATACTCTGTTCAAAGAAAATACATTGTATGTTTGTATGTGTGCTTGTCTAAAAAATAAAAAAAATCTTTTTTTAAAAAAAAAACAACCAAAAAAGGTAGGTGCATCTTATACTCCGAAAAATACGGTAGCTAGAAAGCAGGAAATCCCATGATTATAGCTAATATAAATAGTGCATCACAGCTGATCATTGCAAATACATAGCATTTTTTACTACCAGTTCGGGAGAACCGGTCCGAACTGGTAGCATTTCACCCGACCCACACCACTAATATACAACACATCTTATCTGTGTTAAAAGTTCTTAATCAAAAAACCACTCACTTGACAGTTGGCATGGAGGCTTCTACAAAGTAGAACTTTTCAGTAGTTATGCCCCTTTAAAATCCTTCCTTATAGCTTTTTTCCTAGTATTTTTTTTCATTTTACAATTTTATTACTGGATTTTACTGGTAGGATAATATTTGCATTGACTAATTGCTTTTATACTTAATTATGCTGATATTATTTTAGATGTAATGCCCTACGTTTTGAATATATAGTGTTTAAATATATTATCATCTTTACATACTTCAGGGGTAGGGGGTGATGATGGCTCAGACGTTAAAGAAATTGAGGTTGTCAGCTACAAAGCTGACAGCCTGGGTTTGAGACCCAAGTGCCGGGAAACCGGGTGAGGACTCACTTCTGCCCCACATCTTGCCCAGTTTGAAAGCATGCAAATGCAAGTAAATTAATAGATCTCTCTTTGGTGGGAAGGTAACAGCATTTTGTGCACCTCGGTGTATAGTCATGTTGGCCACATTACCAAGGAAATGTCTTCAGACAACACTGGCTCCCTCAGCCAAAAAACAGAGATGAACATCACTTCCTAGAATCATATATGACTGAACATATACTTCAGAACAATGAGTAATATGAATTCTCTCATACACCAACTTAGTTCTTTGAAAAATACTTACATTTTTGAGCCTAGAGTTGTCTTTGCTGTCTGAATAAGAGGCTCGGTGTTCTCAGGATCAACAGGAAAACTGTCGCTAATCTTATCTAAATTTTCAATAGCAATATGAGCAGCTTGTTCATAACCATCTGCAATTCGGATTGGATGAATACCACGATCTAGCAAGTGCTCTGCCTGTTCCAATAGTGCACCTGCCAGAACTACAGAACATTATATATTAAAATGATGTACTTTTTGCTATAAGAAAATATGAAACAATTACCGTTTTCCCCAAAATAAGACATCCCCTGATAATAAGCCCAATCAAGCTTTTGAGCGCATGGCAATAAGGTCAAGCGCTCATTTCCCGGTTCAAAGAAAAAAAAATAAGACAGGGTCTTATTTTCGGGGAAACACGGTACTTAAGGGGAGTTTATCATATATTTCCTGACAGTTTCTGATAAATATCTAGAATTCTTTTGTCAGTAAACAAAAGCTAAATGAACTGCGTTACCCAACATGCAGTAGGAATAGGTTGAAAAATAAAAGTATCTCTATGTTAAGGAATGTTATGAAAATGAAAGTCCAATTTGCTAGATATTGCAGAAAGTAATGCTATTCAATTAAGTAAAATTCTGATAAGAAAACAAAACTAATAAATCTTACCAACAACACCTGTGGTTCCATCCCCAATCTCATCATCTTGGGATTTTGCCAATTCAACCATAAGTTTAGCAATCTGATGATCAACATCCATCATATTCAAAATAGTAGCTCCATCATTTGTTACTGTTACATCACCATCTTTGTCAACCATCATCTTATCAAGTCCTATAATAAGCATTTAAAGAACAATATAGGTTAAAAGCATTACAATGGAAAAAGCTTTAAAATGTACAGCAATAAATCATTTTGCTTACCATTGGGGCCGAGTGATGTTCTAAGTGTATTGGCTACTGCCTTGGCTGCCATTATATGAGACTATTTAAAAAAAAGCAAATATAGATTCAGCAGTTTCAAATGCTAAAAATACTACATATTTTGCACATGCTCGCATACAAAGCCAGACATTTTGAAGGCAGCTGCTTTTGCAACAGACTTGCAAAAACGGTGCCTATTTAAAAGTTTTTATAAGTGCTTTCTTCTTGCATGCCGTTAACCTCATCTGAATGATCATCACAACAACAATATTGTTTGCCTAGTTCATAACTTCTATATGTTATCATATAAATGTTATTGGGAACAAAACAGAATTTTATGTTGCCAGAAACATTAAAAGTCACAATACAGAAATTACTCTCCCAGCAACTTATCAAAATTCCACAAGCCATTCCTGCTATGCAGACTATTAAAAAAATATGGATTTAAAGATGTTTTAAAGGTACTTAAGATAATGCATGACAATCCTTTTTCAAGTGTCTTATCACTGTCAGGCACCCATCCTTAAACTTACAAATTATAACATATTATTTCTCTCACTGCTAATCCCTATCCTGCTACACTGATAGTGCCAATGATGAGCTTTTAATTGTGTGAGAGCAACTTCAGGAAAGGAATTGGTTCTCCCCCCATCTTTTTTTCCCTCCCCCAAATGTCAGGAGGCAACAGAAAAGGCCACGCCAATCGTTTTCCTCCATGTGCACGGTGCTGAGAAGGATATAGGTTTTGACACATGGGGTCGTCAAAATTTGGCATCAAGACAGTTGGGCCGCTGAACAGAGTGAGGGGGCTGTTTAAGCAAACGGGAGCCGATCAGCTGCTGAGCTTGCACCTGATCCACAAGGCAGGGGAGGTTACCCTGCAAAGGCGTTGACTCTGCCCTTTTCTACCACCCGCCTCTGCTCCGGCATCTGACCTCTAGGCGGCCAGGTTGCCATAAGCAACCAGTTACCTGCCGTTTTAAGGAAACCGATCGGTACGAATTTAAACACAACCCTGCTAATAATAAATCCCGCTGCACGTGGTCGAATGCACTTACTGCTCCTTTTCCCTTGTTCCAACCGAAATTCCCCTGCCCCCTCCCTCTCCCTCCCCCCAGGCCTCAAATAGCGTGTACGGGAGGGGGATTTGCTGTACCTACAAGGCGACCTTCTGAGGCAAACTTAAGCCGAGAGCGGGGGACCCAATTCCACATCTCTGAACTTGAATGCCGTTTCAGGAGGGGCCCGTAGAAGGCAGGGGGCCCGTTGCCCGATCCGTTTCCCGCCGCGATTTTTACCTTGAGGGCCTCCAAGCCCGTAGAGCGGGTCTTCCGGTCCTGGTCCTTGAGGATGAGGAACGGCCGCCCGTATTCGTCAAAAGCTAAAGTCCCCATGGCCGACATGACGGCGGTCGATCCTCCCGAAGGAAGGCGCACGAGGCCACAATCAACCGCACAGAAAGAAAGAGAACCACGCCTGACGCAAGCTCTTCCCTTCTCGCGGGATCCACTCGCGGACAAAAGAAACGCATGCGCACTTTGCTTCTAGAATGTGGCGCCCACTATATTCTAGAAGCCTCTGGGTGGGGCGGGGCATATGCGAGTGCGCAAGCGCATTAAAATGATATCGACTTCCCTTCGGACCATAGAGCTAGGAAACACACACACGCCTCGTGCATTCATTGCATGAAGCAAAGATCACTTTAACTTACTATAGTGGCTTCGTTTACATCTCCCACTAAGACAGGGTTTCTCAACCTCAGCAACTTTTAGATGAGCGGACTTCAATGAATTCCACAGCTTCTGAAGTCCACACATCTGAAAGTGGAGAAACGCTGCATTAAGACATCGGTCGTAGATCTACAGATGCTAAAGTGGACTATTCCGAGACACTTGCCTTTACAGTTCAAGCTTGCGGGAAATCTTTCAGCAAAACGTTATGCATGCCAAGTATTGTATGGATATGCACGAATGTGGGCCGCGTGGATTCAGACAGCTCTCCAAGCCTAATTGAGAAATATACTGGTGCGGAATCTGGATAATTTCATCAAGGACTGTTCGTCTTTATATAATTACTCTATGATCTTTCTCACTACTACCGTAGTTTGCCTGCCTCAAGGAGTTTTGCACATCTAAATCGTGATTTTGCACATCTAAAACTAAACTGATGTTAAAATTCAGAAACTAAAACAAAATTATAAATTTGAAAATACTGTTCACATTCTATCAAAGATGGAACTAAACTGATCACAGGAAAAACACGTTCAGATTTTTATGATTGACTATAACAAGACTGCAGTACATTTTTAGCTAACCAACTTTTTCACAACTATAATTAGCTGAGTTTTGAACAGTACAACTTGTATAGAAATCAAAGACGCTCAGGCATTTATTTTCTGCAGTTTGGGTAAAATTAATGTTTTTTTGCAATGTAGATAGTCAGCAATTCAGGAGACTTCACAGATAAAGGATTATAAAGGATTATAACATAAAATTGAGCAAAATACAAGGTTTCCAGTCACATCGTTTTTTGCTATCAGAAAAACATTTTAAGAACTGCACTAACATTTTGAGGTTGAGAAATTAAATAGTATTTTTAATTGAAAACGTGCCTTATTAAAACAGTCCCTTTTGGTTACATTTTTTTCAGGGAAAAAGGAAAAAGTATGCTGTTGCCAAGCACATATAAAAACATAATTTCTTATTGGTTTACCAACGTTTCATTTTTACCCTGGGAAAGGGACATCAGGCAAGACGCTAAAATAATTAGGCTTCCAACTTCATGAAATGTGTTTTCTGCCTTCGTATATTTACACTGACAGTTGGGCTTACTACAAAATTGTTTTTTTGCGTCTGTATTACCTGGGTTTATATAATGCACTCAATCTCAAACAAGCAAATCATACATTTATATAGCACGGCTGAACCACAGCTTCACAATACATCCACTTTGCACGTGCTAGCAATTCGGATTTTACCCATTTTATACAATAGCACGTACTAAGGATAACATAATTATTTTGTTGGCTTTTTCCCCATGTGATGATGATGAGATCAGAGAAAGCTTTAACGATCTTCGGTGCCCTATATTTTCAATGCGGATCAGAAATGCGGCTATTCTTTCGAAAAACACGAGTCCCCCTAATGAAAATAATGGTACGATCCACTTGAGCAGGAAGAACGGTTTCCCGCGGTTTCCGATATGTAGGCGCAGGCTTTCAGAGGGGGCAGGTCCCGCTACGTCACTTTGTTCCGAAGGGGTGTGGCCAAGAGCGAAAGGGAATTCTCCAGGTAGGGAGAAATTTCATGGTTCTTGCCTGTTTCCTTCTCTGTCCAAATAGGTAGAACTGCGGATTAAAAATTTAAGGTTTACCCATTTTTTTCCGCACTACTGTATTCCCCCCCATAAGGATACTATGATATACATTCCATAAGCCAATGAGAACTTTCTGTTTTTTTTTGTCACCAGTACTGTACCTTGGGCATTTTTTGCTTACTCTGATGGAATTGATTATGTGCCATCAAGATCAAGTCGATGTCGATTCCTAGCGATCACTGACATACATTCTTTTTTTCATGATGATCTGTCCCTAACCTGATCCCTCAGCTTTTCCAAAGGCCACTACAATTGAGTCTATATAAAATATTAAATATTGCACCATTTAATTGAAACCTCAAATCATTTATAAGAGATTTTTTAAAAAACATGTTCCGATCTCTCTTTGCTGCTTCTAATCCAGAGGAAGCTGTTAAAATAAGATAACTTGCTTTAGCTTTTGTCTTTCTTTAACCAACTTTGCTCTAAAAACTATTATTTTTATTATTTTAATGTGTATTAGTTTAATGTTTGTAAGCTGCCCAGGGTCAAGAGATGTTTATTTACGTTAAATAAACAAAAAAATGCATACGTACTACATACAACTGATATCTTGAAATGTTTTCGAAGAAGGTAATAGCTAAACCCTTCCATTATGTTGTCAAAAACAACAACAATATGTCTATTATTCAACCAAACTAAAACTTTTTATTTATTTATTTGGTGGTTAAGGCACCTGGCTAGAAGCAGGAGATTGTGAGCTCAAGTTCTGCATTAGGCATGAAAACTAGCTGGGGAACTGCTGGTCACTCTCTCTCAGCCCAACTCACCTCACAGGGTTGTTGGGGGAAAATAGAAGGAGAAAGGAATGTTAGATATGTGTAAATTATCTATGGCTTTACAGAGAGATTATATTCAATTGTAGATTTTTCCATTGGCCCTAATAGCTACGGTAAATGAATTCTTGTTCATTCACCTCTCAATATCATTAACTAAGGGACAAAACGGTGAGATATGTTGCTTTATGACAAAAATATATACCTGAATGCTGTTAGAAATCAAGTAATGAAAACCCAAGTAAAGGTTTTCTTTTTTAAATCAAGGACATAAACGTATAAATACCATCTATATCTTGTCAGGCTAAACATACTACTTTTCTTTTTCTAGGTTTTTTGTTTGTTATGTCAAAAATACTTGCTGAAGGCAGTGCAACTCAAGAAGTTACACTTTTGACCATTGCTGATGAAGACTCTACCAAAAGGAATTGGGGTGTTTTGCTGCCTGGTATAATTGGTGGGACATTAGTAGCCTTATACTCTGTGACCATTCCATTTATTGCTCCAGCACTGAGAAAACATTGCCTGCCATTTGTGCCTGCAACTTCAAAGCAGATTGAAAATGTCCTAATCATGTTGAAAGGCAGAAAAGGAATGCTAGTTGATATAGGAAGTGGTGACGGACGTATTGTAAGTTTAAATCAAATCCTGTTTAATGAAATTAAACTTCAGTGAAGTGCATGTTGACACACAACCCTGTCTTAAATACATTCTTATATCTTTCTCAGGACAAGGATGGAATTTAAAATCACACACACAACACATAATGAAGCAACCTACTAGTGATACAAACATCCAGTTTAGTATTATTCAGAAAGTCTTTCTTAGGGTAGCTTTTTAAAAGCTTTTAGCTGGTAATGTTAATAGTTGTTCTGGAGCTCTTTAGGTATGAAAGAAAAGTACTATATCTCTCATTTATAAAATAGATCAATAGAACTCCTGGATTACAGTATAAAGTCTAGTGGTTGTGACTTTGTCCTTCTGGGATACATACTTTTGGCTTCCCTTTCCTTCCACCTGTTTTCTAGTCTGTCATGTACTTGTAGTTACCTGGGATTCCATGCGCATTATAATCTTACAACAAAATAAGGAAAGGAAAAAATGGGAGCAAGACAGGAGAGCTACCTCATCTCCAGATTTGGCCTTAAAAAGGAATAGAGGGGATCCAAAGAAGAAGCTTATCGGAGCTGTTACTTTTCCAGTCATCTTGTGCTATTACAGGCCTAAACAGCTGCTCTGGGTTATGACCTGGCAATTCTCTTAGCCATGTGGGTTCAACTTTTTGTTTTGTTTAATGCAGAAATATTTCATACATGAGACAAAGAGGAGCTTCGTGCAGACAAGTGGGTAGAATGGCAGAGAGGGAATGAATTACTTAAATCATTTTCCACAAGCCTACTCAATTTTCTTTGTAAGCCATAAGGCAAATCTCTTCCTTCATGACTACAGTACAGTGGAAATTCAGTAGGCTGGTTGGCAGAGGAATTGCAAGGTTTTTTAAAATTTAACCAGAAGCTTGTAAATCTTGATTTCTATGTTTTTCCCCAACCATTACAGTCAGTAAAAAAAGTCAAGAATATTAGCTTCTCAGCAGACTAATAATTTTTGTAGACTAATAATTTATACAGATTTATTAACAATATTGCAGTAAGACTACAAAGTGCAATAAATCTCATACATGTATGATGAAGAATCTGGCAAAGTATTTTAGGCAAATTGCTACACCTATTTGGCTGTCATATATACATACATAAACACACACACAAATAAAAATTTTACATACATACACATACAAATAAAATTTTATAATAAGAAAACAGTTTTTTAAATTAAATACTTATTTATCTTTACTCAGGTAATAGCTGCTGCAAAAGTTGGATTTAAAGCTGTGGGTTATGAATTAAATCCTTGGTTAGTATGGTATTCGAGGTACCGTGCCTGGAGAGAGGGAGTTCATCAAGATGTCAATTTTTACATTTCAGACTTATGGAAGGTATGCAAATGTAACAAAAACCCAGGATGCAAATCATCAGTTGTCTAGAGAAAGCAAATATATTATTTATTGTGGCTGTTAACAGGTTTAAAATGCTTCTTATGCCCATTAGTATTTCTGCGGAGTAACTCAGTGGAATTATTGGGTTATATTTTTAAACAGCTGCTATACAAACCAGCAATAAAGTGGCAATCCCACTTCCCTTTCCCCATGCTTTTGATTCTATTTTAAGGTCACCTGCTTAGATGTACTATTTATGTAATTGGTTACAGTTATTTGCTCCATTAATAAATAAGGTAGAAGGATTTATTCCTTTATCATTGCTCTCCTCACACAAGAGCCTCTGTATCCCTTACTAGAGGACTTTGTACCTGTCATCAGTATATGGAGGTAAGATTAGATTTGTTTGGTACGAATAAAGGATTTTGTCCTGATACAAGTACCAAGGGGTTGTTCCTGAAAGCTTGCAGGAAAAGGTTTGAACCCACTTGAGCTAATCACCAGTTGTTTTAATCTGATTGGCTTCCCTGCACATGCATGTTCATGAATGAAAAGTGCATTTATATAGAGTTAATTCTTAAATTTGACATTTTATTTCAAAACAGATCAGTTTTTCACAGTATACAAACATTGTCATTTTTGGAGTTCCTCAGATGGTAAGTTTCCATTAGAATATTCCAATAGAAGATCTAATTGTGAGATTGTAGAATATTTGAGGTTTTTATTAATGCATTTGATATAAAACTTTGTTCATCTTTATAAATACTGAACAGTGGAATCTTTCTTTTTTATATGTAGTAATTTTATTAAAAATTACAATTTACAACAGTAAAAACTAATAAAACGAGAGGACGTAAAAAATAGAAAGTGCCAAAAAAGAAATAGAAAAGAAAAAAGTAAGAATATAGTAAAGAAGAAGAAAAAAGAAATATAGAAAGAACAACTTTCCCTTTCACCACCTCGTATAAATAATTTTAGTAATTTATCACCTCTTAAACAACAAATGATCTCTTATCTGGTATCTATTAAACAAATCCATAAAATCACATTTCAGGGTGATGACAGCAAAACTCCATTATAGATTATCAGAGATGATAACATACCTATTTTAACCCTGATTAAATAAACCAGCTTTATATTCCTTCCTTTTACTTCCTTTTAACAATCTTGATCTTTAATCCCTTTAAATAGTGTCTTGGAACTTGATTTCTTTTCATTTTTTCTTTGTTCCTTCTCACAAAGTTAGAGAATGGAATCAGACCCTATAATGGACTTCCTGTGTCCAGATTCACATTCAGATCTAGGAAGTTACCTTTGAAATTTTTTATATAGTGTTTGAGATAATTGACTGCAGTCTTAATGAAAGCAGCTTGAGCTTCTCATTATGGATATGAGGAACCTTGAAAAGGAATAATGTATCTGCTTCATTCTGCATTTTGTATTCCGAACAATTTATCGCAAGCAACACGTAATTTTTTCTGCTAATTTGGTGTAATCAGCATTTTGCTTTCCTGTCCTGTATAGCCAGCATCTATCTTTCACATTCAGGAGACCAATTATTTTTAATTCTTGCACCCCTTTACTATACTCTCTTCATAGCCAACCATTTTACATTTATACAAGTCCCCACTTGAATGTATATCCCTGAATACTCCCTGATATGCATATTTTTCAGACTGTATCAAGCGTTTCTTCCACATTATTTGAACATTTCCGATCTTTCCTGACAGATGCCGCAGCTGGAGAAGAAGCTTGGAGATGAACTCCTGCAGGATGCCAGAGTCATTGCTTGTCGCTTTCCTTTTCCCCATTGGAGACCAAATCATAGCTTTGGCGAAGGCATTGACACCGTTTGGGCATATGATTCCAGATCGATTAGAATAGAAAAGGAAGATGATACAGCTCTTGACAAGGGCATCCCTCCCAGTTAGCTAAAACTCCAGAGATAATGCTATGTTAGCTTTTAATATGCAAGTGTGGATGTTTTATACAACGTATTATTTCTTGTGATTCTTGGGTTTGTGGGCAAGCATTTCAGAAGTTTCTGGAAATATTTTATGTGTGTAACATAGCGTAAGTGTTAAGCAATACTTCTGTTATGGAAAAACAAATGTATGGAAGTTGCCTCCAGATCCATGGCCCCAACCTTGGAATTCTATGGGATAACAATTGACATTTAAAATAAATTACAAAATTGCAATTTACCATTGTAAAAATGCATTGGTAAGAGTATTCAAAATGATCTAAATCCTTAGGTTAAAACTGTTCTAATACAGTTAATTTTGAATCCTCAACTTTAATATTTTCAGTACCGTCTGATTAAAGCAATACTCTCCAACCTTATTCTGAATATGTCTCCTTATCTCTGTTTGCTGTTCACTTCAACTATATGTTGTTATGAGTCGAGGAACAAGATTTTAAAATTGTCTGCCAGGATGCAGAGCCATAATGAGAAAATCTGTTTTGTGACTCAAAGTCTCATGGAGGGAGGGGCAGTGGAATCCTAAATTAATGAAAAGCAAAAGAGAATATAAAAATAAATACTTTGTTACATTAAATTGATTTTATTGATAATGTGTTTCATTAAAGTTGTTTAAATATACCCAGCATCATTGCATTTTTAGACAGAAAAACAGCAGAAAACAAACAGTAGATTAAAAAAGAGTGGGGGACAGAAATTTAAGCAAAAGCATCACAGCTTCCATGGGAAAGGGTCAAGATAAGTAAGAATTAAGTAGATTTTGGCGCTCAGTATCTGTCCAAGTTTGACAATGGCCAAATAGGCCTGTTTCCTTATTCAGCTAAAAAAATCCCACCAGTATAGGCAGCCCATACAGGAACAGGGTTATTGTTTGGACACAAGGCATTGTGGAGATACAGGCAGTACAATTAGTTTTTAAATCTTAGGGAACACTTTTTACTTTTTAAAGGACAACGTTTAATGGCATGAAAAGGGTAAGTACAAAACATTTTGTGGATTTGTAGGTTAATGATGCAAAGCCCAGATTCCCTCTTTCTAAAGGGAACTTTGAGAATACAATATCCATTTTTGTAGATTATGTTAAAATTATTTTAGGATTTGTTTGTTTTTTATTTTATTCTATGGTTGTACAGTCAACCAGGTGTTTAGACTGGCTTTGGCATTTTTACGTGCATGCTCACATTTTCGGTTCTGGCCGAACTGGTTCTTACTACCAGCAGCAGCCCACCACTGAACCAGCCTGTGGTGCACTTCTCTCTCTGTGGGATTAATTGGTAAACCAAGCAAGTGAACAGTGCTCTCAGCTAGAGTGAAAAGCATAATCATAGTAAATCTATTTAAAATTAGTCTCGGCTAGAGATTAGGACTAATGAATGTCAGCTGTGCTGACATGAAGACCAAGTGTTTCCTGTATTTAAGTCCCACATGAATGCAATCTATTAGAACAGGGCTTCTAATAGATTGCATTCTATTAGAAGCCCTGTTGACCATGTGAAGTTGTGTACAAACTTTTCTCAAGTACTTAACCTTAATTCATTCTGTTGAAGAATGCTTCCTTACCACGTTGTTTCTATTAAAAAAAGGTAACATCTATCAGACCAAGCTTGTGAGGCTCCTGAATGTTTAACCAATGTGGGACATAGAATTTCAGCCTAGATTCTGCACTGACATGCCAGGTTTTTAAGGCAAAAACAAGGTTTTTTTAACAGAATAAAAATATGGTTATACTTTGTCTCAAAGGTGCTTTTTTCAGGAGGCAACTGGACTTCCTTGTTTTTTCTTTGAAGACATTTCACTTCTCATCCAAGAAGTGAAATGTCATTCTTCAGCTCTGACTGGATGGTGGGGAATGGAAGGATTTATATTCCTTGCAGGCAGCTGGTCATTTGCATCCTTTTTGAAGGTTGTTGAAGCACTTGGAGGTTTATCTGTGTCCAGGGCCAGATTTTTCTATAGGCTAACTAGGCTTCAGCCTAGGGCCTCAAGATCAAGAGGGGGCCTCAAGATCAAGAGGGGCCTACATTCAAATTGTTAGCAAAATTAAAATTACACTTTCACTATAGGTGAAAGGGCCTCATAAATGGAATAGCCTAGGGCCTCTTTTCATCTAAATCCGGCCCTGTCTGTGTCCTCATGGTCACCTGAGTAGTGCTAATGGTTCCTGTAGTCTGCAATCCCTCTGGAAATCTGTTCATACTCCCACAGCATTCGAAGGGTGTTCATTCCGAATTGGGACAACCTTTGGGATAACCATGACCTGGATGACTGAGAATCTCTACAGACTTATGGTTATACTTTAAACTCTTATTTAAGAAGAGGCTGTTTTAAAATCAAAACTGAAAAGTGTTTTGCACTTCCTTGGAGAAGCAGATCCACTCAATTCATGTATGTTGTATGGTTTTGCCATGAATGAGGTAGCTCGTACATACATTAAATATGCATTACTCTGTTCTCTTTTGGGATAAGCTACATTATGTAGAATGCAGAAAAGGAGTAAGAAATATAAGCCAGACAAACTAAAGACATTAAATTATAAAAAGAAAAGGAAACAGCTAAAATTAGCCTGCCCCAACATTTGTGATATCTCTGCACCAGTGTAAGTTATCAAGCCATGTTTGCTTCCACCAAACCATACACTGGAATTTTTCATCTTTTTCTTGTGTTTTTTTTTTTTTCCTTTTATACCATACACTGGAATTTGATGTACCCTGTTTCCCTCAAAATAAGACATCCCCTGATAACAAGCCCAATCAGGCTTTTGAGCGCATGGCAATAACGCCAAGCGCTTATTTCAGAGTTCAAAAAAATATAAGACAGGGTCTTATTTTCAGAGAAATACAGTAGTAGCATGCAGCATGATTTATAGCAGTCAGCCCAACAAAGCATTACAGATAGACATTGCTGAGCACCAGCCAAAGAACACATTCTGCAAGGAAAACAGTCACCAAGAATCCCACAGATGATGTTGCTGCCTTCAATATTATCTCTCTTACATGACCAACCATACTTTGGCAAAGAAACACATGATGGAATTGAAGAATAGATGCTGCAGCTGGCTGTTCAGTCGCTCATTCCATTTCTCTGTGAAAGGCAACTGCATCAGCAGAGGACCAGTAAATACATAGACTGAGATTGTTCTACCTGAAGATCTCCACAAAGAGGACTTGAATTGGGCCTATCTTTAATTGTTTCACCTCTTCCTGAAATTCAGTGTAACTCAGCTTTTGCAGAGAGCAGAATATTGTATTTATGAAGATACCAACTGCAACAAAACTTTCAGAATGTTTTCAGTCCAGATTTGTGAGGGAAGAAAATGTTGAATGATGCTGATGATGATGTTGTTCGGAGTAACATTTCCTAGCAGCTCAAAATTTCCTAGCAATTCTCAAAATTTAGAGAATAAGATAAGGACAGAGAACACCCTGGAAATACAGAACATAGAAAGCCAAACACTGTAGCCATAGAGAAGCAACAAAATATTCTGTAAACCACCTTGAGTCACCATGTGCAAATAGGCGATATAAATTCAATAAATAAATAAATAAGTAAGTAAGTAAGTAAGTAAGTAAGTAAGTAAGTAAGTAAGTAAATAAATAAATAAATAAATAAATAAATAAATAAATAAATAAATAAATTAGGAATGACAATGAAATAAAAGGATTAAGAACAAAAAACCAGGAGTATAAGTTACAAGCATTCGCGGACGACGTAGTATTTATTTTAGAACGACCAAAACAATCAGGACTGAATTTACTAAGGAAGATAGAACAATATGGCGAAGTGGCAGGATTGAAAATCAATAGACAAAAAACAAAACTACTAACTAAAAATTTGACAAAAACCCAGGAGAAAGAATTGGAAGAGACATTAGGAATACAAACAACAACAAAAATAAAATACCTAGGAATTTGGCTCACCAATAAGGTATCATCCCTTAAAGAAGACAATTATATTAAATTGGCCAAACAAATTCAGAAGGACTTAGAGGCATGGAGTAAATTGAAACTATCACTACTAGGCAAAATTGCTTCAATTAAAATGACAATTCTACCAAAAATATTATATCTATTTAGAACAATACCGATAAACCCAGGAAAATCATATTTTAAAGACCTTGATAAAATGACATTAAAATATATATGGCAAGGAAAAAGAGCCAGGATTAAACTGAAACACCTGCAGGACACCAAAGAAAGGGGTGGCCTGGGATTACCAGATTGGCAAACTTATTACACTGCAACAGCTTTAACTTGGATTAAGGATTGGATGACACTCTAAGATAAACGAACACTAGCACTAGAAGGATTTGACTTGTCAAAAGGCTGGCACGCATTTCTATGGGAGGAAAAGCCCAGACAACATGAACACTTCAGGAGACACTATATCAGAGGAGCATTGGCAAAAATTTGGACTGAAATAAGGAGAAAACACTACAACAAAATTCCAAGATGGCTATCAACCATGGAGGCCCAAATCTACCCGAACACAATGGATATAGACAAGATGAAAACCTATGACGAATTGTTGAACACAGAAGGAGATATGAAAACAAGAGAGGAATTGAGACAACATGGCACGGACATTGATTGGTGGCCGTATTTACAGATAAAATCAAGATATAAAAGTGATATGGAAAAATTTGGAATCCAAAAAGAAAGAAATGAATTAGATAAAATTATAATGCAATCAGATGACAAATTAATAACTAAAATATATAATTATCTGCTAAAATACAAATTGGAAGAAGAAGTGGTGAAGGAAAATATGATTATTTGGGCTAAAAACTTTGGATATAATATTAACCTAGAAAATTGGGAAAAAATATGGAAAGTAAATACTAAGCTGACAATGTCCGTGCCCTACAAAGAAAATACATACAAGATGTTTTATAGGTGGCATCTCCCCCCTGCACGGTTGGCAAGGATGTTTCCCAATACTAATCAGAATTGTTGGAAGTGTAAAGTACAGAAGGGGACCTACTACCACATGTGGTGGTCATGCCCAAAAGTCAACAATTTTTGGAAAACAATTCAAAGTCAGCTGGAAGAAATTACCACCCAAAAAGTGCCCCTCAGACCGGAAACATACCTACTAGGAATACTGACAAAGGACTATAAAAAAGAGACACAATACTTGATAATACACATCCTAACTGCTGCTAGAATCGTTTTTGCACAAATGTGGAAATTGGAAGACACGCCACCAGAAGAAAAAATAATACAAAAAACAATGGAATGTGCAGAAATGGATAAATTGACCAAAGAAATACAGGGAAAAGAAGATTCAGACTTTTACTTAATTTGGCAAAAATGGTACAACTGGTTAGATAAAAAAGACACGAAATAAGAGAATACCACCCAACGATACAAAAATAAGGAAATAAAATGAAATATCGTTATATAAACATTGATATAAGATGAAAGATAATATATACAGATATATAGATATATAATTACCGAAGTAGCTCTATTTTCAAAGTTCAAGCTCTATGACTTGATTTCATTGTATAGTTAGTTTATGTTTAGTTTGTTTAAACGTTCATGTCTGTATGTGTATGTTTGTCTATAATAAAAATAAATAAATAAATAAATAAATAAATAAATAAATAAATGTTGAGCAAT